CTGACTCTGCATTTGTCTCATGGACATCATGCCTGAGGACTGTGGAATGGGCCAACCCTCTGATTAGGGGGCTTCAGTCCTTCTGTCCTAATCTGTCTCCCTCCTAAAGAGTCCCCGGCCCTAAGGACCCCTGCTGGGAAGTACCCAAGACCCACCACCCCATTGCATCAGACAACACTCTGGTCTGGAAAGCCACGCCCTGTCCCGACAGATCAGAGGCGGGCAGAGCTAAGTGGTCACAGGCATACTTCCAGTCACAGAGCTAGGGGTAGCAGCCTGGACTGAGCCCTGGCATCACAGTCCTTACCCAAGGAAGTCTGTTGGGACTAGAGATTCTGGTATTTGCTGGGAACCGTCCCTGTTTGCACGCACTAGGTTCCATGGAAAAACCCAAACCTTGCATCAGCTAGCCAATCGGCTCTGCTAAGAGCCTCTCTTTCAGCTTCTCTGGCTTTCCCCACCCGTTATCTGACTCATCTCCCAACAGTCCCGGGGGACAGGAGACAGCAGGCTTCCGGTCCCTGTTGCATGGATGGAGAGACGGGCAGGAAGGGGCTTCCTGCAATGAGTCAGGGGCTAGAGCTGGCACCATCCCAGGTGGGCAGGTCACAGGCACAGCTAGGGGTACTGGGCAATGATCCTAGGCTACCACTGCAAATGAAGGGTCTTCAATGCCCCACAGAGATCTGTGGGGAAGGAGGGAAGGAGGGAAGGATGGATGGAGGAAGGGAGGAAGGAAGGAAGGAAGGAAGGAAGGAAGGAAGGAAGGAAGGCAGGCAGGCAGGCAGGCAGGCAGGCAGGCAGTTAGCTTCAAGCCCTGGATCAACAGATGGCGTTTCCAGCGCAAAAAATGTCAGGTCCCAAAGAAACCTTGGACAAGTCTCACCCAGTACCTGTGGCTCCTCCCACACTTCTCACCCCGCTCCCCACCCTAAACCTCTCCTCTCCAGGGGCTGGACTTCCCTTCCCCCAGCTTCTGATTCTTGTATAACTCAGCCATTTTGGCCGCCCACTCTCTTGGGCCTCTCCTGGCTTCGTCATCTGCTCCTCCCTTGATCCACGTGCGCCCTCTCTATTCTCTCTCCTCTCGTGGCCTGGCTCATTCTGAATTTCCAGATACCTCTTGTCTGTGCTCTCTCCCTCATACCTATAATAAAACCGCTCTCCCCAGCCATACCTAGAAGCAGTGATGTTCTCATTTTCATTCAGAAGGCATGAGCATAACGCAAAGGGAAAAAGTGGGCAACAGCCTTGCCCCCCTCCTCCCGTGACAAAACGGGCCGTGGGCCCTCTTTTAGTTCCCGGAAGCTATCCCATCATGTGTTAGGTGAGTCTTCGTGAACAGTGGGGCTTAATGCGTTAGCCCCAAATGTTTTATTTATTTATGTGCATGCTTTGTCTGCATGCATATCTGTGCACCACCACATACATGCCTGGTGCCTGCAGAGGCCAGAAGAGGGCGTCCGATACCCTGGAACTGGAGTTACAGACCTTAGTGAGCAGTCATATGGGTGCTGGGAATTGAACTGGGGTCTTCTGGAAAACCACCCAGAGCTCTTAACTCCTGAGCCATCTCTCTGGCCCCACCTCTATCTTATTTAAATCCCAACAACAACCTAATAATACTTCCCCTACTCAGCAGATTTCCTTTTCTGAGGCTCGGAGAGGTTAAAGCAACGTATGTAAGGACGCGCAGCCTAGTCCTTGTTCCAACAGGCTGGAGACAACAGGGGAGGCAAGCGGCTTAGAACTGTTCTCCAAACAAGTGCCCCAGCGCGTGCGCGCCCACGTAAGGCTGCCCAGGTGTGTCTGCGGGTTGGCACCCAGTCCGGGTGTGTCTGTCAGTGCTTCTGGGGGTGGAGGGACTGGAGAGGAACAGAACAACGGTTGCCCGGGGATTAATGTCAGAAGGCCTGAACTACAAGGGGGAGGCTTCAGGCATGTGTGTTCACGTACCCCCTACCCCCCGCCCCAGCAACCCCACCCCGTGTGCTCAAGGTTTTGGGTACTCTCCCCAGCTGACCCTGGAAGAGCAGGGAGC